AGTAGCAGCAGCAGTAATAATAGTAGTAGTAGCAGTAGTAGTATAGGTGGTAATAGTAGTAGAAGTAGTTGTAGCAGTAGTAGTATAGGGGGTAATAGTAGTAGAAGTAGTAGTAGCAGTAGTAGTATAGGGGGTAATAGTAGTAGNAGTAGTAGTAGCAGTAGTAGTATAGGGGGTAATAGTAGTAGTAGTAGTATCGCCTAGTTTCCTGAAACGCATGGAGTGGTGTAAGTTGTCTGATCAGTGTTGTCATGGTGCTCAGTGAGCTACATGCTAACCCTCTGTCACTCACCTCCTCCAGCACAGCCTTGTTCTCAGCGTTAGCTTCAGGTAAAGCAAAGCGCTCGTCCCAGCTCACATCAGATAAAACCGAGTTCATGATGCTCCACATGTTCTGCTCCAACAGAGCCGATGACAGGCGGAGGGTTCACAGCAGATCTGTTTCTGTTTCTGCTGCTGTCTGCTGTCTGTTTGATGTCTGTCGCCCGTAGCAACGACACGAGCCCCTCAACTGTGTGGACACTGGGAGGCAGCGCGACACCAGCGCCTCACACTGTCCGTCCGTGGTACTGCAGTCATGATTTCTACACCAGTGTGACGGAAAACAACTAAACAGCAGTGTGTGCAGAGAAACGAATCCAAAAGTCACTTCTCAAATTATACACACTGTGTCTGTCTGAAGGCAGTGATCATGTATGATCACATTTATACAAATTAATCAATTTAATACAACCAAAGATATCTTTGCTTAAGGTTTATCGCAATCAAAACACGATTGTAATAATTTTCCTTGCAATTTATCACAGAATGATCAACAAAATAATAAATAATACCAGCAGCTATTTCACCATTATTAGGATTGTTAGGGACATGAACTTATCAAGTAGTATCTGTTATGATGATGATGCTGTTGATTAATGAAGAGTTGATTTGTGAAAAGAAAGGAAATCAAAAAAGCAATCTGTATTTATTTTGTGTCAATTTATGAAAGGGGGCAGGTAATATAAGAGTTTTCTTCTCTTTGCACCTTTTTCATTCATGGAATGCGTATGAATTATGTTTTGTGTTGTAAAATAGTTTTGGATAACACTAAAAACAAATCATTTTGGATTTGACAAAAATGCTCTATAAATAAAAATATCATTATTATTGCTCCAATCCCAAAGTAATTTTTTTGTTTCTTTAAAGAAAATTGTTATAGTTCACTGAGAGCAACATAGATGTAGCTTTCATTTTGGATGTAATTAAACATGAATCATTCTTCAGATTTATGAAAGAACTTGTGTGGGCCCTAAATCATGACAACCTCCAGTTATCCTTATCCAGGCTACTGAGAACGACCGGCCACTTTAAAGATACCAAATTGAAACATTTATTTTATAGTTATACATTTGTGTTTAAACAAACAGCATTATGCTTAAAAAATTACAATCAATGTTTTATACTGACTTGTCACACAAATGTATTATAAAACAAAAGCAAAATCATGGATGCACACAAGAGTGTTAAAATTCAATATTTAAAGACTGACATCCCCTCACGAACCCTCGTATTACGTTGCAATTCAAAAGTGTGTCTATCTACCTGCTTTTCAGTGGAGTCCAACCACGTGGGCGAAGGTGGTGACTCCTCTGTAGTTGGCTCGAGCACACACAAAAAAGCCCAATACTTTGAACAACAAAGAGATATGCCTTTTTATATATGTACATACACACACACATATATATAAAGTCTCTGCTGTGTAAAATATTTCAGTCCTGAGGGTTGAAAAGGCAACATAGTTCTCAGCTCAGTGTGGTCCCCTGGTCCTCCGTTCACTGCGCTCGATGTTTTTGTAGAAACCTCACACGGACGTTCCTTCAGCGATTAAACTGCCGTACTTTTGGTCCCAATATGCGGCCGTGCAAACTCCACAAAGTCATCGATAAGGACAGGCCATGCTCCTAGTGAACAAATAAACATACACAAATATGACCAACTGAATCATAAGACCATATTAAGGACAACAATGAGAACTCATTAGTTCATAGTCTGCATTCATATCTGGGATATTTTTGTTTCATTTCTGGATAGTGAGAGGAACAGAAGACGCATCATCCATCTTTCTACGCAGGTGGAAACTATCCCTAAAGGTTGTGGGGGAACAATTGTGGCTCAAACAAGTTTTCACGTAACTGATTACGAGCACTGTACAAACCTTCCTCGTCATAATTCGACATGTCATCTGTGATCATTGTGCTGAAGTCTAGTAAGAGGTTCCAAGTGTCCTTAGGAATTGATCTTTTGTGGTGCTCCTGCAAAAGGTGTAGGGTAAAGTTAACACAAGGCGAAATAAAGTGAATGACTTACATCTGCGATTATAAACTTACAACTAAAAATGTGTTCCACAAGTCCAGGAACTTGAATCTTCCGGCCAGTACTAAATTCCAATATGCAATTGCCATCTCTAAATCTGTAATAAAACCAGACATAGGTAAAAAAAAAAAAAGTATATATGATGAAAACAACCGTATGAAACAAACAGTATTTATGATGCACATTAAGAGACTCTTACCCAAACCTTTCTGGCCAGGATTTTTGGCAAAATTAAATGTAAACTGGTAAAAATCCTTGAACTTCCCCTGGTCTTTTAACTCCTGCTCCATCTTTGGCAGCTGAGCTTTTAACTTCTCTATAGTGTCACATCTGAAGAAACAGCGAGCAAAGTGTTAGTTTTACTGGACAAAGAGAAACATTTCAGAGCATTACACAAATCTTTGTTTTCATCTAAAGCTAAGCAATTAAGTTTTAAGTTTAAGTCTTTTCTTTACATAAATAGCAGTTACTAGGCGTATCTTTGGTTCTATGAGTAGTGGTGTAGCCACAGGCTTTGCAGCTGGTTAACCCTTAGAGTCTTGGCCTCGACACCCTCCGACAGATCTTTGCACTCACTGACCTATCAGGGGGTAGCGATCGCACAAAACCCCAGTGCTTTGCTGCTCATCTCCATTTGGAGCGCTGCCATGTGCACCCAAAAGGAGGCCAGCCTGGTATGCAGTTAGAGAGCTCCACATGAACTCATAGAAGTGGAGTTACATCCAGTAACTACGATTTTCAATATCTTCTAATGCATTTTAAAATTCAACACAAAAAGTCAACACCAAAGGCGAAGGCAATTAGGGATTGCAGTGATCCCAGCTGGACTCCAGTTATGACTCGATAAAGACCAGCAACTGACAAAGAATGAACCTGGCAAGCCCTCGACCAGTGGATCCCTTCGTCAACCCCCTGATTTTACAGACAAAGCCCGCCTGTAAAAGATGTTTGAAACGTACGCGGACCAAGTGACGCAACACATCCGGCTTGGCAAAATGTTTTTCGTTTTGTGATAAGAAAACTTTATCTTTTCAGCTAATTAATAACATTATGGCCTTGATCCAATCATTTACAATAATCCAATTATTTTTGTATCAAATGCACAAAGTTATAGTCGAAACCTGCAAACTTACAGAAAACACTTAACAACACAAACTACACTTTGAGTTGACATGAAAATAATGGTGAAAGCCCAGATGGACACTTCAGCAGCACACTAAGTAGAATGAAGACAAATTATTTAATACACATTCCTTGTGGAGGTCTGAGCTCCTCTGGGGCATTTTCTAGTCTACTACTTAATGAAGATGTAAAAAGGACAATGAGAACAGAGCCTCTCTCTTCTGTGTTCTGTCATCTCATAACTTTTTCTGATGGTTTAAGTTTTTGCCATCGCACCTTTTCAGTATTTCAATCAAGATATTTAGGGAGACTAAATCAAAAAAGTCAAAACTTTAGCATCATGTCAACATAACGTACATAACACAGATATACTAAAAATCCCACTACGATAAAGTCCGTGTTTGAAATATAGTAGGGTGCTTCTGGTGTAAGAGTTAATAATGTTAAAGTCCACCTCACAAAGAAAGGAGGAGCCATTTCAGAAGAGAATCTTTCTTGCAAAAATATATTCTCACCCCTGTTCGGCCATGCCATCCATGAACTCCTGTTTTGAGAACTCGCACTGTGTTGCTGCCCTGAACTTCCAAGCGATGAGAAGGACACTTATACTGGCCGGATCCAAACCCAGGTCGTCACAGAACTGCTGGATACCGTCGATGCCGATCTTGTTGTCATCATGAGGATCTAAGCGTGACGTGTGGAGAGTGATTGGATTATTATTATTTGGTCAAGAGTAAATGCATGTTCGAATGACAGTTCTCAAAATGTTTGGGTTGCATTGTGTGTACCTCTACTTTGTATAAAAAGTTATTCTTATACTTAGACCCCATTCAGACATGATATTAACATCCATGTGGTCACATCACAAGTGGTCAGCGCCAGGTATAAGTGTGCACGCACCCAAATGCGTCCTGAGATCCAATCACTCAGATCACATTTGGAGGTGGTTGGCTACATGTGGCCACATTTTACTTTTTCGCAAATCCGCCCAGGGCCACGTGATGTCCTCTGACACGCTACAGTTGAAATGTAATTTTATGCTGCTCAGTGTCCATACGTCAACATTTTTCTGGCACCATCACAATATCAACAGTGACCACCACATAATGATTAATACTTCACTTAAATTCTAAAAATCGTTCTTTAAAGCTACACTCACTTATTCATTCAGTCCCTCCTCTCTCTTCTCTCACTTACGCTGACACACATACAAACATTGTCATCGAACACATACGTAAACTTAGACTGGGTTACAACAACCTCATTAGCATATTGAGTGAGAGAGTGGAATGATTTTAGTTTCAGGTGTGAACAGACTAACTTGGCGCAGGCCACTTGTGATTGGATCTGTCAGTACGGATGTTTAAACCAGGTCTGTATAGGGCCACGTTCAAGGCTTTCCATACCTCTGTATCGGTTGTACAGCTGGTCGAGCCTCTTCTTGTCTAAAGCCGCCTTTAGATTTGGAACATAGAGCTCAGGACTTTGGAAGAACTTGTCCGTGGCAACGTCTAGTTTCCAGTCATTCTGTGACAAACAGGTCAGCGCTGTCTTCTCATTGGATTGTGTGAATATCATGAACTGGCGAACTTTATCCTTCTGTGAGGACTTCAGCTTGTTCTGCACAAAGACAAAAACACAACATACACTAAACTCAAAAAAGCAATGAACAGCAGAATCATAAATAACGTTTATCTTATACATAAGATTTATTTATGAGTTGTTACAGACTGAATATTTCAACAACAAGCTGCATGTGGCTGCAGGATGCTTATCATCCAAAGTGTCCCCGAATGACCACGAAGTTTGGTTTGTTTTTGACACAGTGGTAGCAGCAGTAAGAAAAGCAGCAGCAACATTGCACCCTGACAGCAGGCACCGGTTTGAAATGTGTCCACTAGCTTGTGTTTTCACATTTCAACAACAGCGAACCAACAATCCGATCTTAACTCCTGTCGACAGTAACTCACAGCTAACGCTGATGCAGAGAGTGTGCTTTGGTTGGTCCGATGGCTTAAATGCTAGCAAGCTTAGCTGGCTAACTGGGCTAGTCTCACCGTGAGCTAGTAGGCTAATGCTAACGAAGGGAGGTTTGTTTTCATTGTGCAAAAGGAAATAAATGGGAGATTGGCGCCGCTTCCTGTCTGCGTCGATCTCCAGAAAGTGACGGTTCATGTGTGTGAGGGATAATAACGCGAGGATCTCGGCATCAGGGTTAAATAAAGGCTCATTTCTCACCATGTTTGTCTTCGCCCGACTCCCTCTCCTCCCATCCAGCTGGCTAATGACTGTAAAGTTATACTAGTCATGTAAAAAGATTTCCTTATTCCGGTTGGGGCTTCTCTTCTTCAAAATAAAAACGCTCAATGAAGAACTCATGGGTGATTCCATACCTTAAAATTATAGTTTGTTCACTTTCTATCTATTAAATGATTTATTGTTATTTTTTAGTGTAATTCCTTATTGACTTTCATCAGTCGGCTGGTGAAATTTGAAATATTACCAGGTGATTCATTTTATTTTGAAACATGTTGCAGGAAGTAGTTGCGGAAGTGGTGAAACTAAGCCAGCTCGCCTGTTCCGGAGCTGTCAGACGTCTCTGGATGTTTAGACCCGCTTTTCAGAGACTTCGGGACATATGGAGGTCGTACAGACACAGGTTTGTGCCCTGGGTTGTTCTCAACCTGTCTAAAAATGAGAAAACTCTGCGGCAGGTGACGGAGCGCTGCAGGGACAAGCTGGTGCCGGATGAGGAGGTGTCGCGGAGCCTGGTGAAGCTCTTCACAGCCCTGATCAGGAGTCATGGGCCCACAGATCACAGGGACCTGCGAGCAGCTCACTTTACCAGAGAGGTGACATGTGGAGAAGGAGATGAGCAGCATGCAGGAAGCCCTCTGTGTGGACAGGATGCCATGTTACAGTCTCTGGGATTCTGCATTGATCGTCAGCCCAGCACTCTGCCCTCTGCAGGAACTGGAGTGTTTGTCACCAAAGGGTTTGTGCCAGGGGGAGCCACAGTGGCCATGTACCCTGGTACAGTGTATCAGGCCTACGAGCCTATCCTCCTCCAGTCCATCTGGAACCCCTTCGTGTTCAGGTGCATCGACGGGGTCTTGGTTGATGGAAACGACAAAGGAATCTCCAGAATGGTGTTCAGGTCCTGCAGCGGCAGGGACAGACTGGGGCCCTTCTTGATGAGTGACACCAGCTGGCTGACAGCCACTCCACACAACCCACTGGCTGTGGGTCAGTATGTGAACAACTGCTCCAACGAGCGCCCTGCTAACGTGTGCTACCAGGAGTATGATGTGCCAGAGAAGTTTCCCTTTGAGCTCTACCAATACCTGCCCAATGTCAACTACAGCCAGGACACACGGAGGCCTCTGCGCTGTGTTGTCCTTGTGTCACTCAGAGACATTGCACCTGGAGAGGAACTCTTCTCCAACTACTTCACTATTGTGCATTAAAATTAAAACATACTCTGCCTTTGGTGTCAGAACTGATTATAAATTATATTTTTTTAAATCCAGCAACATCACCATTGTTTCTATTTTTAGTAACACTCTTTGTACACTCTTTAATACTCATTAAGGAATAAAGATAAATTATGTCTAACATGTTTATTGTAACGTTTAAGAAACAAGACTGCTCTTATTGGATAGTTTTAAAATGTAATGTAGGAATACACTTTATTATGTGGATGCGCACTGTTACACCTGGGAGGACTTGCAACTCTTCCCAAAGTTTCTGCGTTTTTTTCCACCTGTTAAAAGGGAGTACTGTGGGGAGACAATGTTTAAGGACAAATGAATATGACACCTTTTACAGATTGTTTAAGCCCCATGAGAAATACTGTGATTTGTAAATATTGGCTATACAGATCAAATTTGGTTGATTGATCAAGTGGGCCAGGAAATATAGGATCAGTATGTTCCAGACCTAAACAAAGGTAGGACAGAGTTATATATATATCTTATACTGAAGAAAAATATAATTTTTTTGATTTATATCCATTCCATTAAGGATCTGCTTTCAGAATATTACATCAGCAAAATTCTAAATATGCAAAAATACACTTTAGTATCGAGAAATAAAAATAGACATTATTCAGAGCGTCTGTACTAACTAAAATCTTGTAACTGGATTGTGATGGCCGGTGTATTTATGTAGACAATATGTTAGAGTTTGAGTTGGGTGTAGTTTGTTAACAGTGTATCAAGGTACTCATGTGTTTTAGTTGAGGACTTTTGACGTTTGAAGTTTTAAAAAAAACTGGTAACTAAGTATCTCAAAATTGCACCCTTCTTAAATAACAGTGCTGAGATCCACCACAGTAATGGAAACTTACAGAACAAGCAGCATAAGTGATTATAGACCAAGCTTTGCTGAGGGGAGGGACCAAGAGCTCAATTACAAGCACAATTTTAGGAAGTTTAAAAGCTATAATCAGTGCAGGAAATTCATGAACATTATTTGTTCATTTAGGGACCAACGTGAAGTTCATTCACATCAGCAACAGTGAAGGGGACATTCCTCACACACAGCCACAGTTAAATGGACACTAAACAATTCAACTCTTTCATATGGAACAAAGACCAAATGATGGCAAAGGTGACACAGATGATTGGAACCTGGAGAACAGAGGAAACACAGAAATAAAGTGGCAGTGGTAGATGAAGATCTAAATTATTTTACTTAAAGGTACAGTGTGTAGAATTCAGTGATATCTAGTGTTGAAATTGCATGTTGCAGCTAAACACCCCTCACCTCACCCTCCCCTTCTAAACATGAAAAAGAACCTGTGGTAGCTTTAGTTGTCATTAAAACTCAAAAGGTGTTTGGTTTGTCCAGACTATAGTAAAATACATGGTGGCCTCCGTAGAGAGGGTCCCCTTGATGTGAATATAAAGTATTTAAATATAAAGGGCCTTTTCTGGGGGAAAGAAAACAACAATTCATACAATTTAGATGAAACGAACTAGGGAAAACGTCATGAGGAATATTCTATATAAGATTTCTGCCAATAGATTCCTTTCACCTAAATCTTACACACTGGACCTTTAAGTGAAAGATCAAATAAAGTGACTAACATTTACTTAAGTAAAAGTACCATAGAAGGTAAGTAAGTACTTGTAGTATTAAAGGTAAAAGTACTTGACAAGTGTAGCCTGTTCCCTAATTCATCTTTTATATATCATTATGGCTGAATGAATGAATGAATGAATGAAAACATTTTAGGTGTTTCTTCACCAGTGATGCTTCTGCTGTAGATGTACTTTGCTCTCATTGGAGGAGGCAGAGTCTAATGTTGCCTTTTTAAAAGTATAAAAACAATATTAACATATACAACAGTGCACTGTAAAAATATAGTGTAATATAAAAATATAATCAAAATATAGTGTTATTTATAAATATATGTTGACATATGTAGTGGAGTAAGTATACCCCAATTTAAATCTACGTAAGTAAAAATACATGAAAAATGTGCTTAAGTACAGTAACAAGGTAAATGTACTTTGTTACATCCCACCACAGGAACGTGGACATGGTATTTGGTCACAGAGATGCACAGGAAGAGTCTAACAGACACAATACATCATGTTTGGTATTACAGAGTCATACAGAACCATGTGCAAATGAGATGCTAGATTTTCTATCATCTAATTGAATTACTAAGGTTTAGAGTAACTCAAGTGGGAAACTAACCCAGATCTTTTATTTCACATCATGTTTAAGATAAAAAAAAAACCACACCCAATTGAGCAGTGATTGTTAAGACCAGTTTGTCTGTTTAATCAGGTTTCTACAGTCCATTGCACAGAGCAGACTGAGTACACTGTGTGCTCTGTATTCTATCTGCTCTACCTGCTCCAGTGTACACACAAGGTATGAACGAGAGGCACTGCGTATATATTGAATACTGAAAGAATATATTGAACAGTCTAGGAGCTGTGGTGAACTCACTGCTATCAAATATATGACAAATACAGGTACGTATCTATTAATGCAATACAAGAGATAACATGATGACAAAAACTACAGACTAGACTTCATCCTAATTAAAAATGTCCTCACGATGATAAAGAGTCAAATCTTTTCTGTCAGTCTGTCAGTTTTCTTCTTTGTTCTTCACATCTCTTCATTTTTTCATTTACCCCACATGTTTGGCCTAAAACAAACCCAATCGCCAAAAATGTTGCACAACCTTGTCGGGAGGAATTTTGACCTGCCGGGGACACTATAGCGGCCGTGGCACCGATTATTACTGCAAGATCCTTCCGTTGATAAAAATAGTCCGGGACGATTTTCACTTTTTTATCGGTGATTGACACATATCTGTGTATAAAGCAGATGGGAAGTAAAACACGGTGTGCTCCAAATATTATGTCCGTCAACTGTGACCAAACTGTGGGCGAAACCGAGCATTAACTTCCTGGGTGAAAAATAGTCCGGCTGTATAAAGCCTCGCGGCGTCGTCACCAACAGTCTTTTCAGTTGCATGCTGAAGTTGGAAACGGACCATGTCTTGCGATCCTGCTGATTACAACAGGTACAACTTTATATTCTCTCGTCCATCTTCTACCAATACTCGTGTTTACATGTAATTAAACGTGTAACGGCGATGTTTGTTTCGTGTGTTGTCGAATTAGTGATAAAATAGCTAGCTGTCGAGGCGCTCGGGATGCTAACCCGTTCGATTCGTGAATAAAGCTAACACCGCAGCTCTAGATAATCAGCAGTTAGTTACAGTTATCGGTTTATTGTTTATGCTAAAGAATTAGTGTTGGTGAATCATTGTTTTTAATGAGTGGTGGCCGGTGGTGGTGAGAGGAGCTGCAGTACGCTGCAGATCGGCCTCGTTTTCAGGCAGCGCAGGCCCCGATGTCCGACATATTGGCAGCGGAGCACCATGTTGAGTAGGCAGAAAACGACTCTTATCCCCCCCCTGACAGTGCAGTTAGCCCGGACCACAGAGGGCGTGTGGCCCGGTCTGGAAGCATGTCTCGGTTACATAACAGCAGATCTACTGGAGACACTGGCGCCCGTTGTAGAATTCCACACGTCCACCCAGCAAAGTTCCGGACCGTAACGAGACTTTGGGCGTAACCCGAGTCATTGTGAATCCGATCCTCACTCATCTGACGCATCCTTTACGGTTTCAATGAGTCAAAGTTGAACTCGTACAGAATTTTTTTAGGAGACCGGTCTGACAAGTCTAATGGCGGCCGCCATTCAGCCACACACGTGGTAGGAGCGACTGCTCGTTGTACATCAGTTTACTAGCATAGCTTTAAGACACTTAGTTCCTTATCTGTGATGAAGTTACTTTAAGGCCTTTTTTTTACTTTTGTCTCCTATATTCCCCAGCTCAAGAGAGAGAGACCATGGGGGGCCAGATTCAATGGAGCCTGATGGTATCATCGAGGTAAGTGAATGATAGTGTGGCAGACTTTTAATGATCTAAAGTCGTTAATATGTGCCTTCATTCACAAGATATTGCTTCTCGTGTTTTCCAGAGCAACTGGAAGGAGATTACAGACAACTTTGATGACATGAACCTGAAAGAGGCTCTCCTCAGGGGAATATATGCTTACGGTTTTGAAAAACCATCTGCTATTCAACAGAGGGCAATCATTCCCTGCATCAAAGGTACAGAAACCTAATTTAGTTCTTAACAATTCAATGACTTGTTTACAATTGAGTGAAATGATGCTTTACCATCTTTCGGGACTTACCCAATAATGGGGATACTTTTTTTTTCCACTGATCACTCAATATTAACTGATTTATCATTGTCTCAGCTGTATCATCAGAAATGTCCTGTTTACTGCATTGAGGCACTGATAATTCAACATTGTTACCATTTTTTGATTAACTTTTTCTTGCACTGTTAAGGTTTTAAATATCAATCTCTGTCCCATTGCCGTTAGGCTTAGATGTCATTGCCCAAGCCCAGTCAGGGACTGGCAAGACGGCCACGTTTGCCATCTCTATCTTGCAGCAGCTGGACATTGAGCAGAAGGACACACAGGCTCTGGTGTTGGCTCCCACTAGAGAGCTGGCTCAGCAGGTATTCTGTTCCTGAGGTCACGATAGCCTCAGTGTCTCAGACCTAGACAGCATATTGAGGACACTGATTCAAATACTAAGGTACCATTTTTTTCAAATTGTCAAAAATTTCAAAATTTGAAACAATACCCTCTTAAGATTGGTGTAGTCTCCGTCCATAGCTACATTGGTCTCAAAGGTGATCTGGCTCCATTTATTTGATTGCTTTGTTTTGCTGTGGAAAACTGGGTGACATGATGCTTTACCATCTTTCGGGACTGACTAACGAAATGAAGAGTTTACTTTATTCTGCTGATCACCATGAACAGTTATTCTACACTTTTGAGTTTACATGTTCTGCTGTGCCACGTGTACCACATTATCCTGAAGAGGTGTTTTGTTTTTATTCCTGTCTCATTAGATTCAGAAAGTAATACTGGCTCTGGGTGACTACATGGGAGCATCCTGTCATGCTTGCATTGGAGGTACCAGTCTCAATAGTGAGATACAGAAGCTCCAGGCTGAGGCCCCTAACATAGTGGTGGGCACGCCAGGGCGTGTGTTTGACATGGTTAACAGGGGACATCTGTGTAAGTATCACATGTAGTGTTTAGCAGAAAGGCTTGTTAGGACTGAACTCTGCCACTTCTAACAACAAAATGTCGTGCACAGGCCCAAAATGGATCAAGATGTTTGTTCTGGATGAAGCTGATGAGATGTTGAGTCGAGGGTTCAAAGACCAGATCTATGAGATCTTCCAGAAACTGAGCACAAACATTCAAGTAAGGATCATTTGTGGACAGGCACAACAGATAAAGTGACACCCTTCTGCATTTACAGAAGTCTGCTATAATTGTGTGATCCAGATTTGATCTGTTTCATGCAATAATGCTAGCAAACTATTGCGTGGAAGAAGATGAACATGCACTGCACTGAAAATGAGATGTGGTCGAACCTCTTTCTTAATGTTCATTGGCTGCTTTCTCAAGGTGCAGTGCCACAATTGAGTCTGCATTTAAACAAATAACTCATGTAACACTGCATTTCATTTTTGACCTGGTGTTTGACTGAGTTATTGAACACATTGTGCTTTTCCTTAAGGTGGTTCTGCTCTCTGCCACTATGCCGCTGGATGTGTTGGAGGTGACCAAGAAGTTCATGCGCGAACCCATTCGCATCTTGGTGAAGAAAGAAGAGCTTACCCTCGAGGGTATCAAGCAATTCTACATAAATGTGGAGCGGGAGGTGAGTTTACTGATCATGATCATCCAGTTAATTATGTTTTCACATCATAGATTACTCTTCTCTTTAAAGCACCCTGCTAAAACTGCAGGAGCCAAACCTCAGGGTTTAGCTCATGTGGCCGTGTAAGCATGGGTACACCAGGGAAGAAAATTAAAGGCACAGTATCGGAAAGGAGGCTTGGAGGGACCTCTTTCTTAATGTCCTATGTCGTTTGTCTCAAGATCCTGTGTTACATCTCAGCTGCTTTTTATAATTGCATGACAGTGCATGACTTTGGGTTTTTCGTGGATGTCTGCAGGAGTGGAAGCTGGACACCCTGTGTGATCTGTATGAGACACTCACCATCACTCAAGCTGTCATTTTCCTCAACACAAGGAGAAAAGTCGACTGGTTGACGGAGAAGATGCACGGTAGAGACTTCACAGTCTCCGCATTGGTACAACCTGTTCTACGTCAGAACACTCCTATTTTGCTCATCTGTGCTTGTTGGTATTGCTGTTGCACATTTCTTATTTAATAAAATAATAACTTTCACAGCATGGCGACATGGACCAGAAGGAGCGTGACGTCATTATGAGGGAGTTCAGATCTGGCTCAAGCAGAGTGTTGATCACAACTGATCTTCTGGTTAGTATGAGGGGGCAATATAGTGGGGGGGTAAATATTTGAGAAACACAACTGATTAATTCAGTTAAAAACCAAAAGTTTCTTAATCTTGCAACAGTCTAAAAATGACCAAGCAAGCTCAACTTTTGGGAGATAAGGGCTCACGCTCCACAATGGGTTCTTCTAAAGTAGGAATCTGTTACTTATTCGCGAGCGACAACATGTGCACAAATATCTCATCAGTGATTTTTCTTGAATGCAATTTTAAAACCTGTTAACGCATTTAAAAAAAAAAATTTTTTTTTGTCAGGCTCGTGGGATTGATGTCCAGCAGGTTTCCCTGGTCATTAACTATGACCTCCCTACAAACCGAGAGAACTACATTCATAGGTAAGACAAGACTCATATTCTCTGCCAAATATGCACCTCAGTCTTCTGTGTGCGTGTAACATGACCCAACTTGAATCTCTCCAGAATTGGTCGTGGTGGCCGATTTGGCAGAAAAGGAGTTGCTATCAACTTCGTCACTGAGGAAGACAAGAGGATTCTTCGGGACATCGAGACATTTTACAATACAACTGTGGAGGAAATGCCAATGAATGTGGCCGACCTGATTTGAGCCCCACGATCTTTCGTTTTGTTTTTGGGTTTTTTAACGGTGATAGCGGTCGTTCTACTTGCATTGTGCTTATATTGTTCCGGGGGAAAACTTCTCGATGCTAAACCTTGGATCAGAATTTTGGTATGTGTTAAAAACAAGGTGACTTCTATGGTGGTCCCTCTCTGACAGTTGTAGATTCTAACCTTGACAGATGGCTGGTTGGAGCTACAAAGCCATGGGGTCTGAAAACTATTTCTTTCCTTGTTCATTTAAGATGTGTGTATTTGATGTTCTCCATCATTTAGTAACTTACTTGTGGACTAAAAGGTATAAGTGCTGTATTAAGTCTGCAAATTATGTTATGCTAACATATATGCGGTGTATTGTGGGCCTGCTTAGACAGAGGCATTTGTTGAGTGTAGATTCACTTGCTTTTTGGTATCTTTTGTGAATGTGATTTTAATGTTTCTTTTATTCCATTCATTATTCAGAATTCTCACTGGTTGGCCCTGTTTTGCTGATGTGATTTTACCCATACCAGAGTATATTGCTACCCCCCCCCCCATTACTTTCAGATTTCCTTCTCCCTAGAATTGTATGAATGTCTTAATAAACTGAAGTTACTGTAAGTAAACTGCCTTTGTCTTGGTGTTCATGGTGTCTTCAAGTGCCAGCTGGAATTTGTGAGCCAGCTATTGGCATGGCAGTGTCAAGGTAGGAAGAGTTAGAGGGTTTAGCAGAGTAAGATTTGAGTAGCTGTGCCACCTACTGGCAAGTCAGCTGTAAGACCTTAACGCAGCATGTAGGTGCAAATTAAAATCTAAAGAGAAATACTGAGCACATTAAAACCACACAACTAACATGTCTTTAATGTTGCACATTTCTAAAACTTTTAGGATTCTATATACTGAGGTTCATATACTAAATGTACTTCCTCTTCAAATTGAGATTTCTTTATTTAAACATGCATTTATTTTTTATACATTTTTAAGTCAAGTAAATCATTGAATCTGTATGTATGCAAGTAATTTCATTAAATGCAAAACACTCATTTCTTCACTTAAATTTTATCAGCAGTCATGCCAACTTACTGGAACGCAATTATTTTCCTTAGCCACCCCTTGGGAGGTGACTAAAGAAGAACCCTAATTGATTGAGTTTCTGATTACTTACCTGTAAGTCAGCAGCTGATTCTCAGTAATGATCACTCGAGTAAATCTAAAAATAACACACTGCAGCTCACATTTCCATCATGGTGTTATCACATTTTCTAAATTAAATCTAAATATACATGTTCATACATAAACATATTTGAGTTTCTTAAAAATCCACCCACAGGTAGTTTGTGTAGTTTTGATAAACAGATGTCGGCAGCTGGTTCTGTTTTTAGTGTCGTCTAAAACCATTGTGTGAATTATTCTGCTTTATGTGTTTCCATGGAAACAGGGCAGCTGTTTGGAGCACTGCTAATCCGGACCACATCACATTTCAGGAAGTGGTGCCATAAATAAACATATAGACAATTCCCAGGGAGGAGAGGACAGTGCTCTTGTGACCTTAAACTGGGACACACTGACATTTGAACTCATGTAGGAATACTACACATTTTTCACACAGTGAGATGACGTTTAGTAGTATAATCTGAATGAGGAAACATGTCTGTGTCAGCAGCAGCAAAGACACGAATATAATATACACGACATCTTGGAAAAATTAACCTTGCCTGTTTTTTCTTACTGACATTAATACAAGAGGTGAATTACTACATCACCACACATCGTCAGTCTATTTCCCTTAAACTCTGAAAAAGAGACATTGGGATTGGTATAACCAGCAGTTTTGTTTGCCTGTGATGGTTTATGACATTTGCCTCATGTCTGTGTAACAATGGTACAAGCCCGGCCTCAGTTATTACTGCTGGCAGTGTGCCAAATGCCTCTGAGGACACCGAAGACTTTCTGGCCGATGCTGCAGATATTTTTGGTTCCACATATCACATGTTATGCACCTAGAATTAAAGCCCATAGTGAGCTCTGTATGAAAGTGCAGTGCTTTGGTCCATTCCTTCCCTTTTAAAAGACAAAAAGAGTATTGTAACTTGTGAAGTGCTCCCAGGCAAGATGTTCGCACTTGTAGCACCTACATCCGCTCTGCTGCTCAGCAAATTGTTGCCATGGAGAGAAAAAGCAAAGCTTATGTGAGTCTGATTGGCATCTCACAACAAAATGGTTTCAGAGCATTGCTTCGTATACATGTTCTGCAGTTGGTGGTAAAACCAAACTGCACTTTCTGGTCTAACTCTGGTTTTATATTCATGTAAAGTACTAATTCTAGTTCAAAAAGCACTTTCCAATAACAACTTTTACACAAAATAGAGGATTTATCTTGAATTATTAGACATTTATTCGAATGGCACTTTACGATACTCATTGTAATATGATATCCGTTGGTCTGTAACTGGTACACGACATCTGCTGCAAAACAAACAAATACACAAGTTACATAAAAGAAAATCTTGAAACTTGTTGTTTATTGAGAGGAAAACCACAACGTGTCATTTTTACACCGAGGCATTAATGAACACGTTTTAGAGAGTTGCCCCCAGTGGCCGGTGGCATTATGTTTTTTCTTTGTTCGTCCCTCTGCCCTATTCTTGTGAACGCCTTGTGGGAGCTCAAAATTCAAACGTTCACTTGGACTTACTAATGAACTGATTCCAATTTGTTGGTCAAAGGTTTGTCAGGTGGTTTGTGGTTTTGTAACGCAACATTTCAGGAACACCTTGATGAAACTTCTTCAAATTTGGTCCAAACATTCACTTGGATTCACAGATTAACTGCAGGGAAGTTCAAAGGTCAAGGTCACAGCGATATTCCTAAACCATTACCTTGTGAACGTGTTATCTTAAGCTAAATTTATGTGGACTGAAACTGCGCTGAGGCGTACAACTGCAGAACGTTAATTCTGGTTTATGCTAAGCTAAGCTAACCAAGTGATGGTACAGATATAAAAGCGATTATAGTGTCAGTAAAAAACAAATCAGTGTCCTATGTTATGTTTATAATACTACTGTGGACAAATAATGTTGTCTGTAAAACATTTACTAATATATCCAGTATCAACATATTTGCAGTTTTTCAAATAAATAAACAATGTATTTTGATTGGGTAAATAGAAAACAAATCTGAAAAACCTACTAGTTTCCTTCAAAATGTATTTGCATTTGTTGAAAGCAGCAAAACAACAGGTGGTAGTTAAACAAGGGGATGTGTGCTTGTTCACCATGAAGTTCAAAAGTAACTAGCAGAAGAATAAGTGCAACACATAACTCCTGTGTTAAAGGTCCAGTGTGTAGGATTTAGAAGAAAGGGATCTATTGGCAGAAATTGAATATAAATAAATCCTAGTGATGCTTTCACTAGTGTGTTTCATCTAAATTGTAAGAATTGTTGTTTTCTAGAATGGGCCCTTTATATTTAAATACTTTTATTTACACAGGGAGAGGGTCCTCTCTACGGAGGATGCCATGTTTTTCACATTAGTCCAAGCTGGACAAACTAAACACCTTTTGAGTTTTTATGACAACTGAAGGCTACCACAGGTTCTCTCTCATGTCTGGCAGGGGGTGGTGAGATGAGGCGTATTTAGCTGTACCATGAAACCTCACCACTAGATGTCACTAAATTCCACACACTGAAACTTTAAAAGTTGGACATATTATGTTTTGAGTTTATATTTTGGATTGATTAAACTAATGAGATAACATATTATTAATGAATTAGCTTCAGAAGTGTAGTGGTCTGCACATGACCAGGTGAGCTGTTTCCAGTGTTTGCACTGAGCTAAGCAAACTGTCAGACTGTCATGAGACTTGTGTTGATCCTCAGCAAGAAAGTAAACTCTCGTGTTCTCTTAGATTCCTTGAACAAGAAGTTTGACTAAACCTTCAATCTGTAAGTCATGCTCCTGTTGCTCAAGGAAGGAATCTCCTGCAACTCTTCATAGAAAGGGCTGGACAAAATATTTTCCCACTCTACTGATCCAAAGTGCCACTAGGTCCATGTTGTTAATCCTTGTTGCCCATTTCCTGAGTATGTTTGGAGAATTTACTTCATTGAGGAATTATTCTAAAACAAAGTGTTTCCTATATCTCGGACAGACTGACAGATTGTTTTGAGATACACTGAATTAACAGCAGACAAAGCGATGAAATCCTCAACTGGTATAGTTTCCTCATACTAGAGATGTTTCCTGAGCTCTTGTTTCCTGGGGAACAAACTGACACGATTGATTACTACATTGAAAATAAAATAACTTTGACAACATTTGACGTCTGTTTTGTCACTTAAAACAGAGTGTAGATTTATTTCATTAAAAAAAATCACTAATGCATTACAAAAAAAAGAAACCTCCTACAACATGACTGTTGGTTAAGAGCCCAGAGTCTGTAGGTCTTTACTGCACAGGAAGTCTCGTCACTTACACGTTATCCTTTTTTAGATTGTGCCGCTTTTTTCTACGACTATGACTCACACATCATGCCCGTGTTGCTTCTGCCTTGCACCTCAGTTTAGAAAAACAGACGTCCTCCTCGGGCCATCAGGGGTTTAAAAAGCTTTTAGAAAAATGTAATTATTTCACTCTCAATGTAATAAAGCAAGTAAATGAGAGGAAGAGGCCGTGATTAGAGGACCTGTATTTTTTTTTTAACACATTCTGCAGTCAGTTCAAAGCCAGTGTCAGTGCATTGTTGTACCAGTGGTCATTGATATGTTGTTGATGTCACACTAACAGTAACAGAGAAAAATCATGTGACCTCTTTTCCTCACACAACACATTTCCAGTCTTGTGACAGACGCTGGTGTCCGACTGAAAGGACTGAGGTAATAATCGCAGCGATGTTCGTCATTTCATTATGTTGCACAGACACACTCCATGACACACTCTTTCGCTCTCTGTCACTCCCTGACACACATTCAAACACACACACACCTGAATAGTTCTACACAAAAGCTGCTTTGCAGGGGTATGTGTTGACATAAGAAGGTTTACAAAGAAGAGCCATTTTCACGGCCGTGCAGTACAGCTTGCCTACGACTCCAGAGGTCCACTGTTTCACCTGTGGGTGTGTCGCCGCCTTCCACAAGTCATAGATATTCTCCACGTGACCATGTGAGGTCATCATCTGGTCATAGATACACAGGTGGTAAGGTGCCTTGCCCTCCCCTGAGAAATAGACATGATCTTGAGGTGTCACACCGACGATGTTGGCGCAGATGCCCATAAACACATCGTCTATGTAAAGAGAGGCGTTCAGGGTCAGTGTGGCCTGATAGATTTTGTCTGCTACGTCGCTGGAGACAACATACCCAGCCCCTGCTGTGTAGTCAGGATACGACAACCATGGGTACATCTCGAAGGGCACATAGTACTTGCTGTCTTTGCTGCGCATGGGCGGTGCTCCTCTGTGCACTCGACCAATCCAGAAGTTTGTGATGCCTCTGCTGCTCATGTCCTGCAGGTAGCTCACCAGATTGGGCATGTGGACAAATATGTCATCGTCGGCCGTCATGAGGAAGCGGGCGTGTGCACAGCGGCTGTGCATCCAGTGGAACTGCAGGATGAGCTTTAAGGTCAGGTTGTGGAAAGAGTCTGAGAAGTCCTGTTGGATCAAATCACCATGGAGACGGTCCTCGTGGATGAGCTGCTCCTGGAGGCCCACCCCCCTTCTCTTACTCCATGAAGGCTCTTCCATTTTGGTCCGAGGTGCTCCAAGGGCAAACACCACCCTGACAGTCACTCCCAAGGCATTTTGGATGTAGGTCTCATTACCCCAGGTGGATCTGATGGCATTACGCCTCTCAATGTTCTCTGGGGACGTTTTGACAAAGAGCAGGAGGAGGACGTCCTTGTTAGCACACTTGTCTGGGTGGTCCAGAAGGTAGCGGAAGTTGCTGAATCCTCTCGCCTGCTCGCGTGGGATGGTGAAGCTCTTGTTGATGTAGATGAAGCGGTTGACCAGGTAGCGGTAGGAGTAGGACTTGACGTGACTGACAACACTGTTGTCCAGCTGCTCCCAGCAGACCATCACCACCGACAGCACCAGGCAGGTGGTCATCAGCTGCACACATTGGCATCTCCGTAATCGGCGGAACCTCAAAAACATCCTGGAATCTTGTCACGCCCTGATGGTGATCTGTCAAGCGACGGTGGCGAAGCAGCTGGTTGTGTCGGCGAACGCGGAGGAGACAAGACGACCAAAGTTGTGGGAGTTGAGCGTGTTGTGTTGCAGTGACTCAGAGCAGCACGTGGTGGGTCTTCCATCCTAGGCTGTCCACATCCAGCAGGAGACACGGGCGGCAATGGGAGTCACTGGGTCCGCTGGGAAACATCCTCCATTGGAGCAGAATCACTTGCACACTCACAGGCACCCGGCAGACTGACAGTCATCATTCAGCCATGAAGCCTCCGTCTGAAAGGATCCGTGAAGAGAGAGCACATAGTGACATGAGCTTTGTTGAAACCAAAAGGGTTATAAAAGTTTTTTTTTCTTTCAACAGCAGGAAGTGGAAATGCAAATGCACCATATTTACTCAATGTCTGCTTGACCAACACCTTCTCTATTTGGAAGAGTGACCCAAGCATCATTCTCTCATGTCATAATTGTGCAAGCATTTGTTTCATTATGTACAGCATGTTGAAACAGCCCCAAGTACATCATCTACCCCTCAACTGTTAAATGTACAGACAATTCATTCATTCAATGAGTTTAGTTTAATTAATTCAGCCCGTCTCTCACAGTAAACTAGGACTGTACTGTGTTTTAATGCAGCAGCCCAATATCAGCTACATTAAACAGAAACTTCTTCTTTTTGTTAAGTTTTGCGATAAATCAACATATATAATATAAAAAAATATCACACATCGTCTGTGTACATCCCCTACCACCCACGTTCCCTCACGCCTATCCCGCATCAGCAAGGGATGAAGAACAAAAAAAGCAAAATAAAATTAGGCAAAACTAAGACAGAGACTGAAAATAAGTTTGTATCACTTATAACATACAGGACCCTTGGTGTGATCAGTTCAAACTGAATTTTGACATCGTCAGGCAAAAGATAAATGATAGCACTGCTGTCTCTCCTGAACTGGATCCAGATTAGAGGCGGGTACTCACTGAGCTAAAGACAACAACACCAAGTTGGGACAGTAGAAGTACCAACAACTGATGATACTAATAAATAGAAAACAAAGTGTGTAACCAAAGTTTCTTAATGAGCCTTTCATTGAAAATCTAATCTCTAATTTGATATAATGTAATACATCCAGGAAATAAGAAATATATCTAAAAGAGAGGAAAACAAGTGTTAGAATTGGTCATTTTTTTTGTAAAGAATCTCCAACATTATCTTGATGCATTGAAATCATCCAAGACGCCTATACTACGGAAACGATTAACTTTGTTTTTGGCGACATGCTTCCAAAAAGTGTGAAAAATAAAAACTGGAAAAGTTGACTGAAACTCAAGGAATAGTATTTATCTACACCCCCTATTCCTTCCCTCTCTTTTTTATGATGTGATGTTTTTTGTTGAAATGGACATAAGGACCTCAATCATGAGCACAGAGGACTCACAGATCTTGATGACACAATATGTCTGACGACCCTGTCTGTTGTCTCCTTGTCTGAGTTCTCACTACGTCCAAACCTGACGGAAAGCGTTTCTTGTGCACTGATGTGACCTTTGCCTTTGGCCGCAACAACTCAACACTCGCCATTTCTGTGCAGGGGTAGATACGTTCGCTGAAAAGTCAAAAAGTTGGTGGGTGGGTTGGGGGGCTAGGGGGTCGGGATGGCAACTGAATGCAAAAGCCTACACAGCAAATGCTGCAACTATAATGGAGGGGTTTAAGGCGTGGACCCACTGAAATCGCTGATAGTCATGGAAAGCATTCGGACACAATGGGCGGTGTCAGAACCAGCTCTGCAGCACAATGCACTACAAGAATAGCCCGCTTCCGCCCCGGGGCCTGGGCTCAAACCGCGGGGGGGGGACTCCCATCGCACCCCAAGAGCTTTTTAAACATTATTGGATGGCCTGTGCCTAATGGGGTCACAGGCTCATAAATGGCTTTCCTTTCTGGCTGCCTGTTAATGAGAAACTCTGCCTCATCTCTGCTCTCACCCTGAAGAAAAAACGCACTTTTATCCATGTCTGGGTTTCATAGTGCACATATCCAACACCTGACATTACAGCCTCTCATAAAGCTTATTTCAGACATATATGCTCACTCAACAGAGGTTGATGAATGTTTAGTGGCCGGCATGACGATAAGTTCACGTAACAATTAGACTGTGAGCCACACATGTAACATATGCGTGAGAGAGTATCAGGGAAAAGGCTCATCGTGGTGCAATGCTAACCTCACCTTTAAAGGTTCAGTTCAGCCAAAATTACTAAAATGAATAAGTGGCCCATTTACTCCCTTACCTCTTTTAAACCATGTAGATCATTTGATGTCAGAGTTTTGATGTCTGCTTCTACATAAATACAGTGTTGTGTTTACAAACCTGACAAGGACTTTTACAAAAAGTCAGTCATCAGGAAACACTGTAAATATTTGTTGTAGGAAATGTTTTCTTTGCGAGAGAGTTATCACAATGAAAACCAATCCACAAATCCGCAGCTCGTGACAAAGACATTGTTTACAGAAAAAGGTTGATTTTAAAAATGTATTTTTATGTTATATATAGTTTTTGTTGAGCAACAAACGTTTTATTCTTCTCCAGAGTGTTGAAGAGGAAGAAGTGATTCGAAGTCAAAGCATCATTATCTGCATAGATAGTGGATCGACAAGATTGCAGCTCATTGTTTTTTCTCATGTGAGTCAGCTGACATTTAAAGATTACGTTCGTCCAGCCTCAAAATGTACTTATGCCACTACTTCATATGCCACATGAAAGCGCAGTAGAAAATCTAGCGTTTTTACAGCAATACATATATTGTCCGCCTTATTAAAGGTTGCCACATATGCATTCAGATAGGAGGAAATACTCAGTTCCAGGAACACATGCAACACCAGAGAGGCCGTTCAGCCCCAGACTATCTCGTCTGCTCAGTAATAGGATCACAACAGAATGCCTTCTAAATTGTGTGGTTATGATGTCCCTGGAGACAGTGCTCATGTTACAGGTTTCCAGTATCATCACTGCAACGGTGTTTAATTCATATGGCCTTGTTCCAGCCTGAACTTGATTGAAAGTTTATCCATTTTTTGTGTTTCTTTTTTTATAGTTAACTGTAATTTGATAGTTTTCCTTTGGTCTCTTGGCTGTTGCCTTTTCAGCTCAGTTGTAATCATGTACTGAAGGTGTTGTCATTGTCACTGCAAACAGGTTGAGCTACTGTCCCAACACCAACTGCACAAACACTGAGCGTTGATCCTCACGCTCACACTGCATCTAAAACAAGCCCTGCGCAAGTGAACCGCCTCAACTAACATATTTCCAAAGTCACAGTTCGCATATAAATAGACCTGAAACACACAAGAGAGGCAGGGATCTCAACAGATCGCTGCAGAACAACTCACCAGCAACACAAGCTGTGTCAGAGTGAATCCAACACAGAGGCAGCAGCAGTCTGACTTCTTCTCCCCTCTCTGCTTGGAGTTTTCTCCTCAGATGACGGGAATAGAAACACAACGTTCACGCATCAGTCCTTTAACAGTGTGGAGGAGGTGTGTGTGTGTGCATGTATGAGGAAGAATACCTGCTAAATTGTGTGTGTGTGTGTGTGTGTGTGTGTGTGTGTGTGTGTGTTATCTTCTGATCTTTCTTCTAAACTCCGCGTGTGTACTCTAACTTCCCTGCCGGCAAATGGATCAACTGCCTGCTTCTTCGCTCGGAGCCTATTTCAGACTGGGGGGGTGGGGGGAAACCACGCCCAGTGTTTCAGACGCACTGTAAATCATCACACAGAGAGAGAATCTGCTGTTGTCTCATCAACTCAACGTCATGTTAATTCAACTCAGCATGTTTAGTTTTTCGATTAGCAGGTAGTCGCTTAAGAACTTCAGAAAGTGGAGGCGGTTTTTGGACTGAAGATGAAGTTGAAACAAAACTCGCATGGGTTAGAGATGAGACCAGCCATGCCAAAACCACCTCCCCCCATTTCAGGTGAAACTGTGGCGGCTGAGAGAGCTCAACGCACTAGAAAACACATGCACATTTCAAAACAACATGTGGAAATTGAGAAAACTTCATCTCCATCAATTCGACGACACATGCTGAAAAGTATCCCAACGCATGCAAATACAGAAACGCGCTGCAAAAAGTCACAGCACCCTCATCAATCTGGGCCTGGCTATACCCCCGTCAACACTGCAATCTAAATAACTTGCTTTTCGCTGTGACTGTTTTCGAAATGGCTGAAAAGCTGCAGGAGGACAGGAGGAAGTTGTGCATGTCAAGTAAAGAACTGCATAGAGGTACTCTAATGTAGGGATCATTTTCTCAAATTCAGTAAACTCAGTTTTACATTTTTAAAACTTGTTAGGTTACTTCAATTTAACAATTTAAACTGCACCTAAATTAAACCTCGCCTGTTTTTTTGTACAGTGTGAAAACAACAGAGGAGGAATTATTAAGACAGGGCTGCTCTGAGCTGTTAGCTCTGTTTGAATCTGACAAAACAAAATGCTGCATGTAATGATGTGAGAAATCACTTTGAAAGCACCAGTGGTTTATTCCATCTGTATGACAGCCTTTTTGATATTACATGCAAGATTTTATGGCTGATGACATTTGAATAGCTCTGACACATTCGTTTTGCAAAGTTATTCAAATATTCCTCCAGTTCTCTGCTGTGACTGCGTAGGTTTGTGGTGGAGGTTCCACTGAAACTGTCACGGAATTAAATCATCCTTTATGTAAGGATGTGGTAAAAAATACAACAGGGAACCTATTCAAATATGATAGTGTATGATTGGATCATTGTGAAAAGCCAGTCTAAAGAAATGTGTATTTACACTTGTCACTGCAGATCATGTAGGTCCTGTCATTTGTCAGTGAGTTTACTGGAGAGAGCTGTGTTTATTATTATAAAAGTTAAATGTATTTAATGTCTAAAAGTTAATGTATTTATTCTTTGAAAAAAATGAATATAGCGATACAAAATAGAAGAGATGCCATTTGGTTTGGTCAGAGATTCCAGATCCCTTTACCTTCTAATACACAGCCATCAATTAGTCAAATAACTCAAACTAACAACAATCCCATCAGCCTCAGCTGTACTGTGCTTAGCTCTACATGTGAGCATGTTAACACTAAACTAACCTGCTGAATATCAACATATTAGCATCATCATAGTGAGTATGGTTCCCAAAAGTGAAGCCAAGTGTTGCTATTGCACAGACTCTGGCTCCACATCGGTGACAGCATTGGTATCTGGGATATTTTAGCTTCTGACAAACTGACTGAGAAGATCCATCAGCCATGTTTATAGACACAGTCTATGCAATAGATTCATCTTGTTTTCACATATTACATATTTGTATGTTGCTGAGCTCTTGTGAATGGAGGCCATGTTCATTCATTGTCACTTGTTTTTATTTTCTGTCATCTGAATTCCATGAAATCTTGTGGAGGGGTGGGGTGGATAAACAAGTTCATCCATGGGAATCTGGTTTCACATTTTTACATGGCGTGATAGGGCGTGGGTTTTCTGAGTGCCTTACTTGTTGGAGGTGCAGAGATCTGTGAATTTGTAATTATAACTTAAGGACATAATGGTGGCCATGATGAAGCTATGCACTCACTTATAAGTTTCCCTTCATTTGTTTCATTTGTATAGAACGGATAAGAATATCGTTATTGGATCAATAAGCAGACTGATAGTGTAAATAAACACAGCAAATATGACTATACTAGAATATAATTCGCTTTGTACTTTTATTCCCCTAACCAGACATTTTGTTTTTTTATTCAGACAAACTGACTCAGTTAAGTAGTCTGTATCATCATCTCCACTTTCTGTCTATTCAGTGCAGACTGGCACTAACAAAGTCCAAACAGTGAGACCTCTTCAATGGAGCTCAGAGTTTCACCTGAGAGTTTATTGAGCGACTGATACAGTCGACAGAGACTGACAGTCAGACTGTGCTTTGCACAACAGGGGAGTGTTAATTTGAGCACCAAGGTAATTCTCAGTCGGGCCAGACACACAGAGCCAAAGGGAAGCCACAGAGCCGGAACCCACCAAGAACCTCCACTTCCTACCAGCTCAATTACTTTACCGATCATTTACATGTACTCTACTTGGACAGAGTTGCTACAATAGCAAAGTGCAAACAGTTTGGAAGAATGAAATGGCGTCACAATAACAGGCCAGCAGGAGTTATCGCTGTCACCTCACAGAGAAAAGGTTCTTGGTTTGAATCCTGATTTTGCCGGGGGCTCTCTGTGTGGAGTTTGCATGTTCGCTCCATGTTTGCATAGGTTTTTCTCTCGGTATTCCAGCTTCCTCCCACAGCCCAACGACATAAAGACTGGAGATGGGTTATTTAAAGCTCTAAATTTTCTGTTGGTGTGAATGAATCTAATTTGGTGGGGCCACAAGACGGCCAGAGGGGCCAAGTTTTTGCTTCAAGTGGCCCACATCTGTATGGTATGTAGGATTCCGATCTGTGTCATTTTTTCATTTGTAAGCTTTAAGGATACAACCATTTTATAACATACACTATATTGCCAAAAGTATTGAGTCACCTGCCTTGACTATGAACTTAACTGACATCCCATTCTTAATCCATAGGGTTTAATATGACGTTGGTTCACCCTTTGCAGCTATAACAGCTTCAACTCTTCTGGGAAGGCTTTCCATTAGGATTAAGTGTGTCTTTATGGGAATTTTTGACAATTCTTCCAGAAGCATATTTGTGAGGTCACACACTGATGTAGGACGAGAAGGCCTGGCTCTCAGTCTCTGCTCTGATTCATCCAAAAGGTGTTCTATCAGGTTGAGATCAGGAGTCTGTGCAGGCCAGTCAAGTTTATCCACACCAAACTCATTCATCCATGTCTTTATGGACCTTGCTTTGTGCACTGGTGCACAGTCATGTTGGAACAGGAAGGGGCCATCCCCAAACTGTTCCCACAAAGTTGCCAAAAGTATTCACTCACCCATCCAAATAGATGTATATAGTGTATATAGTGCACTATATTGCCAAAAGTATCAATATCAAAAGAGGCATCGTGTATCATTGGAGTTAAAAATTCATTTTTACTTTTGTAGTTAAGTACATTTCAGAGCCTTTACTTTCTTGCTTGTACTTGAGTAAAGAAGTTGAA